TTCTCGAATAATCATATGAATGCTGTGTCCTCATCGTCGGCCTCCTCTAAGCCTCTGAGCCAAAATACTGTAAGGTCAAGCACTTGCTTTTTATTTATACATATTAAAATTGCTCCTAAGAGTGGACTTTTCGCACACGATGTGTCAGGACAGGAAGCAAATGTTGTTTGAGGGGAAGATTCCAATAACAACCCCATTTATGCAAGCACATCAGAGCAGAAAGAATCATTTCTGTTAGTTAACATTTTTAAGCCAGAAAATTAAAAACAAATATTTAACTTCCCAATTTGGAATTCGGGTTGGCATTTGACTGCAAAACTTTTACAATGCATACTCAATGAGTTAAACACAATCTTTACTAGCCAAATAAAACGGCCTTCGTGTGGCTCAAAAATAAGTTTGAATAAACTGAAGGATAAATAAAACGTGTGAGGATGCCCGGGGAGGGAGCTGATGTGTGCGAACTTGGCCAAGAGACAGCTTTTGGACTCTGCCCAATTCAGGGGTTTTAAGAAGTCTTTGATTAGATGCTATATTTAGAGAAGACAAATATTGAATAAATACGTACACTTACAAACATTAACAGTTCCCGCTTTGTGCTCTTCCACGCCGACTTTACGGTCTGTTGGGGATGAACTTGCCCTTCTCCGCTCTCCATTGCTCCCTTTCTGTTTGGGGCTCACGCTCCCCCTCCCCCTGAGTGTTCTGTGATTGTGCGTGGGTTCATCTAATTTCCCCTACACAGGCCACCAGTGGGGAGCAAGAATTGGAACCTCGCGGCTCACTGGACGGCCTCTTGTGTGCTCCGAGCCCCTCCAAGTGAGCAAAGGAAGGAGGTTTCTAATGTGGGGGCCGCCCCGAAGCCCTAACATGATGTCCCTTCTGGTCCCAGCACACACCTGGCTAGGCCTCCCTAAAATGCAGCTTAGCTGGCCTCCGTGGTCCTAGCGCTGAGTTCTGGCCAGAGACATCCTAATATTTCCTCTGTGCTCTGCCGGTGCACTCCAAACCCCTCTCCCAACACGCACAAAAACATGAGAGCTCTGGAGCCGGGAGCTTGGGCTCCGGCCTGACCAGGGCTCTGCTGGGGCTGGGGCAGCCCCGCGTGGGCCTTGGCAGAGCTCCCTGGGCCGTGGAGCCCCGGCCCCCGTAATCTGCGCTCCTGGAACCAGGGAGCAGCTCTCCCTCCCCCCCCCCCCCTCGGTGCGACCCCAGCTCATGTCCCGCCCCTGGGCCCCAGATCATTTGAGCTCAGTTCGTTCACCGGTGCAGACCGCCGTCCTTCCAGCTGGAGGCTGCCAGTCCCAAGGCCGACAAAGGCACAAATACAGTGAGAGCCCACTCATGTCTGTGGGCTCGGAGATGGGGAGGCAGGGGAGGGGGCAGGGGTGCAGACTAAATGGCCTGAAGGAAGAGGCCGGCCTCTGGGTTTCTCCAGGGCCCCTACAGGTACAAAAGGAAAGGCCGCCCTGCCCCCTCCTAGGGATACCCTGGAGAGGAGAGCCGCCCCCACACCTATGAGCTGGAGCTCTTTCCTCTTTCACCTGAGAGGAGGGTTCACCCCTACTTGTAATTTCTGGCTAAACAAGAAATGTTATAATTAATCCGGATAAAGACAGTCTGCCTCTAACACATACACCTGCTGGTTATGCACAAGCTTGGGAAAATCAGCAGAGGGTGTACGTCCCAGGCAACTCCCTCCCCCCCCCCCCCCCCCGTCCCTGTCCTCCATGTTGACAGTTGTTTAGCCTGGCCCGGTCTGGGGACGCCTCTGTGTCACTTTAAGCTTGGGGTTCAGCAGGATGAGCCAGAGAAGGGCAGGGGAGGGGTGTCCCCACGTCCTCCCATCGTGCAGCACCTACGGGGGGGGATGGTGGGGGGGAGTCAGGTAATGATGGCAGACATCTGGGAGAATGAAAACCTCACTAAGAGATACAGACCTGAGTAAAGGAAAACCCCCAAATGTGATAAAGATGGGGAGAAGAGGCAAAAAGGGTCAGATTCTTTGGGCCTTTAGGACCGTCAACTGTCTCATGTGTTCAATGTGTTCACTAGAGGAGCCAGACCAGAGTTCAGACCAACGAGGTCGTGGGTCTTACCCCACCTATGAGAAAATAATGGGCCCTGGGGTCCTGAAACCTTAGCAATAAGTGAGATTATTGATTAGTTTTTAAAGGGGCACCCGTGCATGAATTCGCAAAGCAAGCCATTAAAACATGGAATCCGTGAGATGCGGCCTTGCAAAAGGGCTTCGTTACTGCTAACGCGCGCACACACACACACACACACACACACACACACACACATATACACACACGCTACGTTACATCTGGGAAACAGGAAACATTTTAAAAATAAACAAATCCCTGACTGCACTCCCACCAGATTGATCAAAAGGGAACCACAGACCTCTTGGATTCACCTAAACGCATCGCCCAAGAAAACTATGAAAACGCGTTATCCAGGACTTCGCCAGCCTGCCCGCGGGGAAGCGCTCAGATAGCAGTTACCCAAGGTAGGCGAGGCCAGGGCTCAGACGAAGCAAACTTCTCTTTCCATTCCCCCGGACAGGACACAGCCAATCTGCCTCTGTGAGCAGACATCGGCAGACATCTACCCAGCGTGCTGGCCCTGCACGGTTCTTCTGGGGACACCTGTCTCTCCCTATAGAAACTGACGTTCCAGATCTGTGCCCTCCCCGGCTTACCGCGTAGGGAAGTCGAAAGAACCCCCTGGCCGGCCTCTCTCCCCGCCCTCCCCTCAAGGGGGAAACTTTGATCAAGCAGAACTTTTCTTTTCCTTTGCCCCCCCCCCCCCAGCTTCTACGGATGCACATTTTACTCTCAGCCAGAACCTCAGAAGCCTTTTGGATTAATTCTGTCCCCTCTGGCTTTCTGTCTGCAGCTCATCCTGAAAAGCGCTCTCAGAAATGCCACAGACAAGTCAGATTCAATGACTTCCCAGTGGTTCATGAACTGACCGTGGCTACCTCGGGAAACGCACCCCGGGGCCCCCAAAGTTCATGGCTCAGCGCTGTGCACACTGAAACAATTAGAAACGTTCTCTTGCTTTGCCCCAAAGAAATCGTGTTAATGTATGACACACAGGAGCCCGATTAACAAATCGAGACTAAATCTGCATGTGGCGAAATGCAATAAAGATCTACGTATTTTTCTCAATAGTAGAAACAACAGGCTTTGCCATGGAGTTCTGCCGTGTCTGCGTTTCTCTGCTTTTAAACACCGAATCTGTCTGGGTATTTAAAAAATGAATCGATTGCTGTCGCTGCCTGTGGGGAAGGAGCCCGTCTGCAGCGCGTGGGGTGTCCTTCCATCAAAGGGACGCCAGGGGGCAAGAGGCGTTAACAAAGAACGGGCGTAGACACGCTGCCTTTATCTGCCCGTGCGTGTCACTTTCCAGGGCGAAATGTCATTTTGCAAGGTTATACGTTTCCAATTCCACACAGAGCCTTATCGCTCATCATTTACCTCTTGGGCACAAACAAACATCCTCTTTAAATAAAACCAGGGAAGGGAAACGTATACCCTCGCACAATTAAAAATCACGCAAGAATGCCAGACTGTACTGAACATTGCTGATAATCCGACTTACCTTGCTGATACTTTGGCCTAATCCTATTTTCTCCTCGCAGGAGAAGGATTCTGCAAGGCCATGTTTCGTTCTCCGGGAGGATGGTTTACCTGGCCGGTGGGTCAAGGGGTGCAGAGCCCTCCCCCCCCCAACACCCAGGCCACCTAAGGTGGGGAGGGGGAGATGGCGGGCTGCCCGCCTGGCCCAGCAGGTTGGATGTCCGAGTGCAGAAAGCAAACGAAATCACTCAAGGGAAACTTGGCTGGAGACAAAACACATTCAATTTCCTGACTCCTCGGCTTTCTGTCCCGAATTATTTGCTTTTGCAGGGGCACGTTAAACAAATTAAACACTAAAAACGGAACCTCCCTGGCTCAGAGCATCGTGGTTGTTTTTTCTTTAAGGCTATGGTAATAACAGTAATAAAAATGAAAGAAAACAATGGCAGCCTATCTTTTAAAAAATAAACTCAATTTGTCCCCTACAGTCCTTTTGGCAAATTCTTATCAGGCAGGGCCGAGCAGACAATGGGAGCTTTGTGCTAATGGCTGCCGCACTCCGCTAATGGCTCTGGAAGCTTCCACACTGCTTATTTGGGCTCCTTCCTGCACCTTGGCCCTGCAAACAGCGGCTTCTGGGGACTCTGACATCAGCCTGGCTCCCCCGTCCGGATCTGTCCTGAGAAAGGGGCCTGGTCTGAGCGTTGCTGAGGAGCCCCCGGCGGTTTAGGATTCTGTTTCTCCTGCACACCCTTCCCTACCCACCCCCCCTCCCCCCCAGTATCATTTCTCTTTGAAATGTCATGAACTTGGCGCTTTCAGACCCAACCGCGGGCTCAGGCCCCAGACAATGGGATTGTCAGAGGGCCAGCGCCGAGTTTTTTCTGCGTGTGCACCGAGCGTTAAGCCTTTTCGCCCACAAAACGGCTCTGTCTGACCGGGTCAGACAAAAGCCAACTTCCACCCTCCGCCTCGGAGGGCATCTGGGCACAGCCGGGGTGTCCAGCGCCGCGCCGCCCGCTCCCCCTGGCGGGGAGGGGGTCCCAGCCACCCCACCCCCGCCCCGCAGCCCAAGCGCAGGCTTCCCCCCCCTGCCTCCCGCCGCGGTGCGATCACCCCAGGCCCCCGGGGCTCCCTCTGCGCCCGCCCCCTCCCCGCGGCGCAGCAGCTGGGGGCTCCCCCCCCCCCCCC